AAGGAAATATCTCTTCGTTAAATCCAAATTTATCATAAAATTTTTTTGCAAATTTTAACCTAAACTCATCATAAAAACATCTACAGGTAAATATTAATCCTTCAATAGTTCTTATTAATTTCTTTACACAAAAATTATCGAATTCAAATATCTCATATATTAAAATATCAATAATATCATAATAAATCTCAAGTGTTAATTTCGAATAAAATAAAGCCATTATAATTTATTATAAAAATATAATCAAATATTTATAGATCATATAATTAATAATCTGATAATTAAAATTAATAATATTAATAAAATATAAAAAAAAACTAAAAAAAAATATATTTAATAAAAATGAATTTTAAAATAAATACAAAAGATAATGAAAATTATCTAATCATTACTCTAGATGTCAAATATAAAGGAACATTATATTTCTGTACCTTTAAAACGTTAAATGATGATAATTATGATTTTTATGAAAGTGATAGAAAAATATCTGATAATGAATACAAACTAAAACTTTTTTCTGATGAAAATTACGTATTTTATTCTTATTGTTCTACTGAAGTAGAATATGAACTTTTACTTTATATCAAGAATAACAAAATCAACATCATTCCACCAACTTATTATTTTATAGAATCATTAATATATCTTTTTACCGATGAAGAAAAAGCTTATCATACATCCAAAAATAATATTGAATAATTCATTTGTCATTCAAAAAATAAATTAATGTCCTTCAAGTATTTTTTTGATTTTTCATATTGTAACATCAATAACCCTTCAAAAAAATCTGTTTCTGGTTCAACAATATTAAAATCGATTAAACTATTTCCTCGTAAAAGAATATTATATTCATTGCACATGTGATTTCTTTGTTTTTTTATCTCATTTTTATCTTCAAATCTTTGTAAAAATCTATATTCAAGAACAAAACTATTATGTTGTATTAACAATAAATTCTCAATCTCTTTTTTTTTCTTTTTGCAATCATCTATACGTTTATTATATTCTTCAAATTCTGATTTATGTTTTTCAAGTAAATCTTCAAGAGTTTTCTTATTCCTATTAGACTTTTCAATAAGAAATTTTTCATTGCCTTGTACATATTCAATGTATAATTGAAACCGTTTTTTAGAATTGGGATTACCCAATACGGGAATTAAACTACTCTTGATAATATATTTTTTTTCCATAATTTATTTTTTAATTCGTTAATTAATAATATATTTATAAGTTTGTCAAATTACTAATTTAATTAGTAATTTGACAAACTTATAAATATATTATTAATTAACGAATTAAAAAATAAATTAACTTTTGAAAATGTCTAAGGAAGAACCTGCTTATGAAACAGAAGATGAATGCATTACAGATTTCTTTAACAATAACCTAAATCAACTCAAACATTATAAATCATCCTTTGGGAATTTTTATCACGATTGTTGCGAAAAAGCACACATACTAAATTGTCAAAAACATATTAAAGAAATTTATTTACCTTTAATAGAAAAATGGATAGAAGAATACGAATGCATAAAAGAATCTAATAAAGTACAAGTTTTCATGTCTAATCTAAACAAATTAGAAATTACCGAAATTAAAAACTTTAAAAATGAACTAAATACACTTGTAAATTTTTTATTACATGAATTAAAACAATCTAAGCAAAAATAATCTCATTAAAATTTCTCACAAAAAAAAATATTATTTATTCTCGTATTGTCTTAGTTGTCTTTTCAATTTTTTTTCGAGTTTTCTTTCTTTCGCTGCAATATATTCTTCGTCTAATTTTTTTTCTATAATTTTTTTATTAATTAAAATTATTAATATATTAATTAATAAAAAAAATATTAATTAATTTAATAAAAAAAAATAAAATACTTTTTTTCTTTAATTCTTTTATCTGAATTTCTATATCAAAAATTTCGTCTTCAATTTCTTCCATGGAACGTTTTCTTTTTTCTTTTTCATTTAAAACTTTTTCAACTGAAACAGCCAAATTTTTAACCAAATATTGAGTAGTATTATTTTGTTCTGGTGGTGTGTTTGACATTGTTATTATTTTTTTCTTTCGTAATAATTTTGTGACGTTCTGATTTTTTTTTCTTTTTTTTTTCTAATTTTTTTTATATTTTTTTTTATGAAACGTCATTATTAAAATATCTAATCTAACAATTATATAAATTAACAATCACGAAAACTTAAATAATTACATCAGTACATTGTTAAATACTTTATCGAATGAAATCACGATTTTAATCTTTTGTTCTATTTTTTTTTTATCTCGTGATTTTTTATCATAATCTTTTATTAATAATAAATATTTTATCGAATATTCTTTTGTTTCTCATAGAATTTCTTATCTTTCATATAATCATTTTTATCTTTTTTCCTTTGTTCTCGATATTTTTTGATAAAACATAAATATTAACAAATTTTATCATTAATTACTAATTAAATTTTGGTATTTAAAGAGATAAAAAAAATATTCAAAATATCAAAACAATAATCATGGCTTTAAATATTCGAGAAAACAGATCGAAAATTCTAAGATATTCATTTGTATTTCTTAATATATTATTTATATTTTTAACTCTCCTTTATCATTTTTTAAATTGGAATAAAATTTCTACTTTCATTATATCTTTTATTACATTATCATTGTTATCTGCTACACTCGGTAAATTAACTGAAATTATCGAAGAAGAAATTGGTGGAACTTATATTTCTGTCTACGCTAATTTAGCTACAAATATTCCTGAAATAATAATTGGGATTGTTAGCATGAAAAATGGACATATCGAAATTGCAAAATTATCTTTAGTTGGATCTGTATTATCTAACCTATCATTCGTTTACGGATTTACTATTTTAATATCTGGTTTAAAATTCAAACAACAACATTTTAACGCAAAAAATGCTGAATTAACAACTATACCTGTTTTATTTGCCGCATTATCCTTTGTATTATTGATATTATTCAATCTCGAACATTATAATACAATCATCGAAGGAGAAAAAATACTATTCTTATCTAGATGTTTCGCTATCGTCTTTATTATATATTATAGATTATTCACATTATGTAAATTAAAAACACATAAAGCAATGATGTCACCAAATTCAACACCAAATACATCACCTGATGTCATACCTACAATAACAATAGATGATGAAAATGATGTCAAAGTCGATATTGAAAATCAAATTAAAATTAAAAAAAAAATCTTTACAAAAAAATTATCACTCGCTATTTTCTTTTCTTTAATCGTTATAGGAATTTCTATTTACGTTACTGATATATTAGTTGATTTATTCACATTTATCACACCTTCTCTTGGAGTTACTTTTACTGGTTTTATCTTAGTCCCATGTATAGGAAATTTAACTGAACATGCGATAGCTGTTGTTTTTGGAATTAAAGATAAAATGGATATCGTTATTGATAACACTGGAGGATCCGCTATTCAAATTATCTATTTTGTCTTACCAATAATCGTGATCAGTGGATGGATCATGAATTTATCTGTTAGCATATATTTCTCTCCATTCATATCATTTAGTATAGTCCTTTGTTCATTTATATTTAAATTATTTATTATTGATGGTGAATCAAATCTTATAGAAGGAATGATTTCAATCTTGGTATATATCTCGATAAGCACTATGACTTTTTTTATTTAATTTCTTATTTTTTGTTTATTTTTCTATGAATATGTATTAAGAATAAATTATGCTAAATAAATAATTTCAATTCTAACAAATATAAAATTTTATAAATGATATTTTTATATGAAATAATTAATTTCTTCTATAAAATTAAAATATCTATTTTTTTTTAAAAAAATATAAATATATCAATAAAAAATTCAAGTATAAAATTATATTTTTTTTCTGATAATTATATTATATAAAATGAACTCTATAAAAAAAATAAATTTGAAAAAAAATAAAATACAAACTAAATCAAAATATGATACTGAGTTATATGATTCATTACAAAATATTTTTTTTTATGAAATTTACGATGATGAAACTATAATAAATACTGTAATGTCATATATCGAATCAAAACCAAAAAATTATGACAGTAACTCAATTCTCATATATAATGAATTAAAATATCAATTCGAAATTGATGTTGAAGACGAAACTTTACGTCGCATGAATTGGAAAAATTCTGATATTAAAAATACTTATGATTTTAGATTAATTCATGATGAAGTAAAAAAAATAAATTTAAATTATTCCTCAATAATCGCAAAATTCGATACTAATGATAAAATAAAAGATTATGAGGAATCTAAAGAATTCAAATATATTGTTAATCGTGAATCTTTAAGACAATATAGATTATTATATTAAATATGATTTATTATGGAAAACTTGAATTAAATATTAAAATATCTTTGTTATAATAAATTTAATAAAATTATTAAATATAATAATACATAAAAATCTTTTAAAAAAAATATTTTATTTAATATATTTATTTATAATAAAATAACATCTGTACTATTAAATAAATTGAAAAAATTTCTAACTAAATTAACAAAATTTCCAATTAACATGAATAGTTTTTTATATCTATCTAATTCTAATTTAATCACATTAATTTCTTTTGTCTTTTCATCAATTTGTCTTTCCAATTCTCGAATTCTTTCATCTTTATCTATTTCTATCCTTTCTTCAGGTATTATTTCAATAACATTATCATTTTCATCATTAATGTTATCATTTTCATCCCAATCATCAGTAGTACCTCGATCATTCCATTTATCTCCATATTGTTCTTCTAATGCTTCTTCATATGTCAATTTTGATTTACCTTGCAATATCAAAATAGTTCTATGTACTGCACTCTTATTAATCGGATAATAAGACATTCCACTTTTAGTCGATTCTGTCCAATGATCTATACGAGTCCATATTTCTTTATTTGGATTCTGAATATCATCCCAAACTTTATATGCTATCTGGTGATGATTATCACAAAAATCTCCTATCCATTCTATATAATTTCCTCGTTTATGTTCTTTATCACAAACAACACAATTAACAAGATTTTTTTGATATTCATTACTTTGAATATATTCAATTTTTCTAATATCATCTTCATCTAAATTTTCACAAAATATTCTATAACATTCTTTGCATTTGTAATCTTTATCTAATTTATAAAATTTGAAAATATTATGACATTCACAACAATGATATCGTCTTTCTTTTGATATTGCTGGTCTTATCAATATCAATTCATCAAATTTTTTTTTAATTTCATCATAAGAACATCCACATCCAAGATTTTGATTATTATCACATTTTCCAAAAATATAATTTTTTTCATAAAAAATTCTTATACTGACATTGTTCAAACACATGATCCTTTTCTTTACAAAGAAAACATGGTAACGAACATTTTTTTACATTTATAATCTTCATTTATCTGATAAAATTCATAAATATTTTTACAAGTACAACAATGATACCTCCTCTCTTTCTTGATAAACTCTTGATTTTTCAAATCTTCGTCGCCAATATACTATTCCATTCTCATTAAAATGTTCACCATCTAAACCTTCCGTGAATACTTCTCCCCTCTCAACAATCTCATCAACAGTATATTTATCATTGTTATACT